TAATACTGTTCGATAATTTCTACATTCTGTTGGATCACTTCTCTTTGGAATGGGCATGAATACGAGGCTCTTCCTGTCAGTTGGCACAGATGAGTGATCACCTCCAGCACTGCATCCATTTGTTGATGGTGTCAGCTGGTATCCCATCATTTCCCGGAGCCTTGCCTTTTGCCAATGTTTTCAATGCATCTTCCATCAATATCATTGGTTCTAGATCATATGCTCCTTCCTGAAGTGGTTGAATGTCGACTAATTCTTTTTGGTACAGTGACTCTGTTTATTTCTTTGATCTTCTTTTGATGTTTCCTGCATCATTTAATATTTTACCCATAGAATCCTTCAATATTGTAATAAGAGGCTTGAAGTTTTTCTTCAGTTCTTTCAGCTTGAGAAATGCTGAGCGTGTTCTTCCCTTTTGGTTTTCTAACTCCAGGTCTTTGCACATTTCATTATAATACTTTCCCTTATCTTCTTGAGCTGCTCTTTGAAACCTTCTGTTCAGCTCTTTTACTTCATCATTTCTTCTGTTCACTTTACCTATTCTACATTCAAAAGTAAGTTTCAAAATCTTTACTGACATTCATTTTTATCTTTTCTTTCTTTCCTGACTTTTTAATGATTTGTTGCTTTCTTTATATATGATGTCCTTGATGTCATCCCACAATTTGTCTGGTGTTTGGTCATTAGTGTCCAATGTGTCAATTCTATTAAGATTTATAATGTGTATTTTTTGGGAACAAAATTCAATCTATAACATTGCCTCAAAGGGTGTCAAGTGCTACAGAAATACAAGGTCATGTCAAAGTCACTGAATAAAGGAATCCTATACTAATTATTTTTATAGAAGAAACTATCTCCTCCAAAATTAGTCTTTTGCATAAATCCTAGTGTTTCCTATAATAGGTTTACTGAAGGTAGTGTCCAACCTACAGAGAAAGGGCTCTTAGTAAATGGGCCATTTCCTTGCTCCCTGGGAAGGCTTCTAGGGTAAAAAACATACACATGCCCCACTATCCTTTTAGGGAGATCCTTCGATAGCTCAGTTGGTAGAGCAGAGGACTGTAGGTGCTTCATACTAGCTATCCTTAGGTTGCTGGTTCAAATCCGGCTCGAAGGACTCACCTTCCTTTAGGAGCTCTGATAGTGTAGTGCCTAAGGCACTTGACTGCTAACCAGAAGGCTGGCGGTTCAAACCCACCATAGTGATACCGCCTGGGAAACCCAAGGAGGGGTCACTATGAGTAGGGTTGACTCGACGGCATATAACAACAACAACATCCTTTTAGGGATCCTGGGAAACTGTGTCTCCCTACTGCCCATTCTTATCTCAGGCACCCTTTGGATCTGGGACTTCCAGTCAGTTCTAACCATAAACTAGATTAGTCTCCAACTTCTGTTCCTTTCTCTCTATTTCTACCTTCTTCCCACTCCTTAGATTTCTAGCCAATCCAGCTAAGAACAGAGGTTCCACATGTATCCTGGAGTGGAGATGCCTTTGAGGATGGTTTAGTCTGTGCAGTTGCGGTAAGGGAAGCCAGTGGCCAGCAGGGGGAACCATCTCTCAGGTGGGGCAGGAGCGGGAGGAGAAGAGCAAGGAGCTTGTCGAGAACCTTGGCCATGTGCAATACCAGTCTTCCCCTTAAACCCTACTCAGGCATAGAAACCAAGACTGTCTGCATAGGGAGATATTGTAGCATGATTTAGTCACATTTGAGAGTCCAGTTTTGGTTGCGATTGTTGTTGTTAGTGCCATTGAGTTGTGAAGCAGAGTGAAACACGGCCTGCTTCTGTCCATGCTCACAATCCTTCCTGTGCTTGAGCCCATCGCTGTAGCCACTGTGTCTGTCCATCTCACTGAGGGTCTTCCCCTTCTTTGCTGACCCTCTACTTTATCAAGCATGATATCTTTCTCCAGGGACTGGTCCCTCCTGACGATATGATGAAACTAGGGAAGACAAAGCCTGGTCATTCTTGCTTCTAAGGAGCATTCTGGCTGTACTTCTTCAAGGATAGATTTGTTTGTTCTTCTGGTTGTCCATGGCTTTTCAATATTCTTTGCCAGCACCCCAATTTAATTCTTTGGTCTTCGTATTCATTGTCCAGTTCTCATATACTCATGAGGCAATTAAAAATAACATAGCTTGAGTTAGTTAGAATCACCTTAGTCCTCAAAGTCACATCTTTGCTCCTTAACACTTTAAAGAGGTCTTTTGCAACAGATTTGCTCAGTGTAATTTAACGTCTGATTTCTTGACTGCTGCTTCCATGGCTGTAATTGTGTGTCCAGATAAAATGAAATCCCTGACAATTTCGATCTTTTCAATATTTCCAATTTGGATCGTAAAAAAAAAAAAAAAAAAAAAACCACCACCAAACTAACTGCTGTCGAGTTGGATCAGACTCATAGTGACCCCTCCTTGGGTTTCCAAGGTGGTATCACTACGGAAGTAGATTGCCCAATCTTCCTTCTGAGGAGTGGCTGGTGGATTTGAACTGCCAGCCTTCTGGTTAGCAGTCAAATGTCTTAGGCACTACAGCACCAGAGCGTTGAATAATTTGATGAATGCTAGTCTTTGGGTGGGAGCTCTGGTAGCATAGTGGCTAAGACACTTGCCTGCTAACCAGACGGCTGGTGGTTCAAACCCACCAGCCGCTCCTCGGAAGGAAGGTTGGGCAATCCTACTTCCGTAGTGATACTGCCTCGGAAACCCAAGGAGGGGTCGCTATGAGTCGGGGCCAACTCGATGGCACATAACAACAACAACAAGTCTTTGGGTGGTGCAAAGAGTTAATAGGCTTGGCTGTAAAATTGGAGGTTGGAGTCCATTCAGACACAGCTTGGAAGAAAGGCCTGGCAATCTACTTCTGAAAAATTAGCCATTGAAATCTCTGTGGAGCCCAGTTCTACTCTGACACATGTGAGGTTACCATGAGTTGATGTGAAGCCCATGGTAACTGTCTGTTATTGTTTCAAAAGAAACCCCCATTCCAGAAAAATACATAAATAGTCACAAAAAAATTTCAGATAAAAATCAGAAGCTTCACAGACACTTTCAGGCTCATCCATGGATCCGAGGCTAAAGAATCCCTGATCTCTCTGTGCCCTATTTTCTCTGATGAGAATACTGAGATCAGCAAGGGTAACTGATGCCTCCATATTATGCAGCTATTTAGAGGGAATGTCAAAACTGGAATGTAAATTCTGACACCCTTGTTCTAACCACTATATAAAGCATTTGCTTCCATTAAATAAAATTTGCTTCCCTGTCAATGAAGCAGAATATTTAACAAACCTTTTTTTTTTTGGTGTGTGTGTGGGGATAGGGGCAAAGGATCATGGGGAGAGTGATGGTGTCAGTAGAAAATGCTCGTACGGCCTCCAATATTTGTAAACGAGATTCCTTCTGATAGGTAGAAGTGGATCTGGAATTCCAGGCTAAATTAGTGAAAAGAGAACAATCACTTGGCATTCTAGCTTTTAAGGAGCTAGTCCTCCACCCAGGACATTACTGCTGTAATGGAAGGTAGGAAATGTTCTTGGGCTTGGAAAATCCTCATTGAGATCATTACGAAAGCAGGTTTCCACAACCCGTTTGTTTCCCTCCTCCTAGGGTAGAGCTCTGGTAGCATAGTGGCTAAGACACTTGCCTGCTAACCAGACGGCTGGCGGTTCAAACCCACCAGCCACTCCTCGGAAGGAAGGTTGGGCAATCCTACTTCCGTAGTGATACTGCCTCGAAAACCCAAGGAGGGGTCGCTATGAGTCGGGGGCGACTCGATGGCACATAACAACAACAACAACAGGGTAGTGCCTAAGGCACTTGACTGCTAACAAGAAGGTTGGCGGTTCAAACCCACCAGCTGCTCCTGGGAAGGCAGGTTGGGCAATCTACTTCCGTAGTGATACCGCCTCGGAAACCCAAGGAGGGGTCGCTATGAGTTGGATCTGACTCCACGGCAGTGAGTTTGGCTTTGGTTATTGGGAAATACTCTGAACAGCTTCTTAGAGTGGGAAACCTAACACATTAGAGGGAGGTCTTAATTGGAGATGTCAAGCTTAGGGAGATGTCAAGCTTAGGGGAATTCCCTCAATTGTCTGCTTGCTTTATTTTGTAGTTCTCAGGTTAGAAGACCCTGGAGTGGCAGCAGGCTTTTGTTTGCGGGGACTCCAAAAGATTGGTGGCTGGCCCTGTGCCTCGTGGAGGGATGGGGTTGCGGGGTGCTTTCGGCTGGGCTCCTAGCACCGCGCCCCCCACTCAGACGGCGCTTGGGCCTCGAGGGATTAGGAGAGAGAGCGTGCGCGGCGTCCCCGCCTCCCGGGAGGGCCGAGGGCGGGGAGGCGGGGACCCCTCCCTTTCGCCCATCCCCTCGGTCACTGCCTCCTCCCGGGGCCGGCCGCCCGGGCGCTCGGAGGGACGGACGGGGGAGGGGAGAGGGAGGACCGACGGGTTGGCGGCGGCGCTCGGGCTTTGGCGGTGCGGGCGGCGGCCGTGGGACCCCGAGTGAGCCAGGCCTGAACATACGGGCGGGCCAGGCCAAGGCGGCGGCCGAGTCCAGGCCGGAGCCGTCGGGGGTTACTACGAACACCACCCTGACTACTTTTTTCTTGGAGGTGCAATCTGTTCTGTGGCCTGGGGTTTCAGGGCGAGTTTTCTCGCGGAGCCAGGGAGAGAGCGCGCGCGAAGGGGGAGGGGAGCATGCCCGGCTGGAGCCGGGCCTCGGGGCGCGCCCCGGCCGCCGTCCCCACCTCCTCCGCCTCCTTCTCCTCCTCCGTCTCCTCCTCCTCTTCCAGTCCCGCCGCCGCTGCAGCCAACATGGCTGCGATCCTGAGCCCGGGAGGCGGCCGCTGCTGAGCGCCGCTCGCTTTCCCGGGCCCCAGCCCGCACAGGCCCCAGCCCATGGGCCCCGCGGCCTCACGGCTCCCGGCGCGCTAGGGCTGCAGCCCGGCGCCCGTCCGCCCGGAGACGCCGCGGGGCCTCCGCGCCGCAGCCGCCGCTTGCTTGCCCGCCAGCCTCGGGAACCCGGGAACCCGTCCGGAGGGGCGGGGCGGCCCGCCACCATGGAGCCCCAACGCCGGGAGCTGCTCGCCCAGTGTCAGCAGAGTCTCGCCCAGGCCATGACGGAGGTGGAAACCGTGCTTGGGCTGCTGGAGGCCGCGGGAGCGCTGAGCCCGGGAGAGCGGCGGCAGCTGGACGAGGAGGCGGGAGGCGCCAAGGCGGAGCTGCTGCTCAAGCTGCTCCTGGCCAAGGAGCGGGACCACTTTCAGGACCTGCGGGCAGCGCTGGAGAAGACGCAGCCTCACCTGCTGCCCATTCTCTACCTGAACGGCGTCGTTGGGCCACCGCAGCCCGCCGAGGGCGCCGGTGAGTGTCGGATCCCCGCCTCTTGGCCTTTAGCACTTGTCTTCCACGACTTCTCTCCCCAGCTTTCCAAGTGGGAACTCTCGAGAGCCATTGAGCTACCTGGCAGCTGGCAGCGGGTAGAACCTTTCCGCTTTATGCCATCTGTGGGAGAGAGAGAGATGTGGATCCCAGATGCACACTTAGTCTCCAGTCCCGCCGTTGGTTGTGAACAATGTACAGGTCTTGAACCTCCTAGGTGTTACAGAAGCAGGTCCGATGGAGGCCCGCAGATTCAGCCATTGGGGGACCTCAGGTGTCTGTTAGTCCATTTTTAAATCTCTTCTCCATTGGCTAGTCCCTTTGGAGCCTGTGCTAGCCATTAATCAAATCCAGAAGAATGGAGAAACCGAGCCAGGACTGGAGCTCCTAAATTTTGAGCAGTGTCACTGTGTTTCAGGATCACTTGTGCCTTTTCACTTTCTGGCTGTCTCAGCTCTCCCCCTTTACCCAGACCTGCGGTTGATTATGCACAATGCCTGCTAGGTTTCTGTGGGCCGGGAAAAGTTGGGGAAGTTGCATTGCACCATGGGAAAATCCTAGTAGCGGCTGCTGGCTCAGTTCCCTCACTGACTAGACAGAGCTGCCTGAGGAGAGAAGGCTGGTGGGCTGGTTCTCTTGATGGTGCTTTTTGGGCACCCTGTATCCTTGGTTTTTGGGTTGCCTGATTTGAGAGAGTGTCAGGCATTTGTGAGTGAGTGTGTGGGTGGGTGGCGGCTGCTGGAAGTTGGCAACTAGTGGTAGACTTGGCCTGGCCTGGTGGAGGGGTGCGTAGCCAGCCTACTAAGGGAGGAAGAGAGAACTAGCATATATTGGGCACCTACTGTATGGCAGCCAATTTGCTTTATTTGTCATTTCTTTATTTCATTGTTGTTGCCACCTTGTGATCTCTGTAGTATTCCTACTTTGCCGAAAGAAAACTGCACTTGAAGTTGCTAAAATGCTTTGAAAGTATTTAATACCAAACTAATTGCTGTCGAGTAGATCCCAACTCACAGTGACCCCTCCTTGGGTTTCTGAGGCAGTATTTCCATGGAAGTAGATTGCCCAGTCTTCCTTCTGAGGAGTGGCTGATGGGTTTGAACCACCAGCTTTCTGGTTAGCAGTCACATAGATGCCTTAGGCGCTATGCCACCAGAGCTCCTATTTTGAATTATGACCTCTTGTTTTATTTAGCACATTTGCAGTCAGGGAACAGTGAAGCCACCTTTTCTGGGTCTTGCCCTTTGTTTTAAGAGTGAACCAGGCGGGCTGAGAAATTGCCCTTAGCATTTGTAGTTAAAAGGTTGATTAGACGTGTATACATGGCTGTTAAAAGCCTCACTTACTAAGGGAATGATTTTTTAAGTTGTTCCTCCTAACAGCTCTGTTGTATATTTCCCATCTCAACCTCATACTTTATAGCTGAAGGAAACTGACATGCAGAGAGACTAAACTCTTTTGACCACACAGCAGGCCATTTCATGGGAGTCCTTCTGTCTCCGCTTTGGGCTTTCAACTCTTGATCTGTTCCTCCAACCTGCATTCTGCCTGCTCACTTGTGGTTGTATCTGGATGGCTGGGCAAACCCAGACATGTGGGATAGTGCTTTGGAAGATGCTAAGAAGGGGCTGTCAGATACCGCCATGGGAAGAGTATGGAAGAAGACCTCATCAGGGTAATTTTTTTCTTTTCAATTGCTCCTATCTGTCTACCTCTCTGTGGTCCCTATGTAGTGCAGGTTGTGCTCAACTCCTAACCTGAAGGTTGACAGTTTGAACCTATCTAGCAGTACCACAGGAGAGAGACCAGGTGATCTGCTTTCATTAAGATTACAGGCAAGAAAATGTTTTGCATCAGTTCACACTGTAACACATGGGGTCACCATGAGTCAGAAGTGACTTGATGGTAACGGATTTTTTGGTTCATTCTATTATTCTGTGTATCTGTTTATTTTTGAAGAAGGAAGACCAGAAGTTAGAGTGCAGACTAGAAGTCCTGGGATGTGTATGGATCAGCACTAGCTTCAATCTCTAGAATCAATGAATGAGTTGCCATTAGTTAAGACCACCTTTCTATACCTAAGGAGCTCTGCTGGTGCTGTGGTTAAGTCATTACAGCCTTGGAAACCCTATGGGGGTCACTTTGAGTTAGAATCGACTTGAGGACAGTGGGTTTGGTTTTTCTCTGCCTGATGGAGAAATTGGGGTCTCATTGGGCTGATGTTCTAGGAGCTAGCCCTGACCTCTTAGAAAAAGGATGAATAGGGTTTAGATTTTACCCCCTAGGGCAGTGATTTCAGACCCTAGTTTTATTACAGTGCAGAGTTTTTTGGCTTCACTGAGGGTTATGAAAGCCTCAGAAAAACAATTTTCAGGGTGAAGTTAATTTAGGAGAAAAATTCAGTGTATCAGGATGCTTCCTAGAGGTTCTGGGGGACAGGGATGACATACTATAAAGGTAACAATAGACTGTTGGGATCTTGTAAAGATTGAATTATTGTGCAGTGGTTTTCCAGCTTTCTTTTTACCCCTTTAAGCAGGGAGCCCTTCTTATGGGTGAAAGCTCAGTGCATTAATGAGCTTCTCTGCTCGAAAGGGTGGAGGCTCCTGCCTCTTCCTTAAGGAGCTAAAGTCAAGGAAACCCAGACTGTGTTCTGCCTTCTTCCTCTCCCCAGCAATTTCTACTCTGCACATGGGTCCACCTTTCTTAGTGTAAATTGGCTTTGGTTTAGTACCTTTGTGGGATCTTGAGTAAAGAACCAGCTTGTTTCCCCAGGAACCATAGTCTTAAGAAGAGACCCCTGTCTTACCATCCCTTTACAACAGAAGTGGCACGGTTACCCAGTTAGGATATCCCTTGGTGGATTCCACACCTGTGTAAGCCCCTGGACCACATGCCCAGCTCTCTGGCTTGTACTTGTGCCCTATGGGAGTCTACAGTGCTATAGGCCAAGGATAGTGGGCAGTCTGTCTGTGGGGCCTGGAACCAGAAGGAAACTGAGGAGGGCACATAGCTTAGGTGCTGCTGGGCTGGTGAGCAAACCAAACCCACCTGGGCAGCTCTTGCTCAGTGCAATCCCTGATATTTATAGTCCACCATGCTCAGGCCCTGGGGGTGTGGAGATG